CTTTCATGTTTTTCAGGTCGCAGGGTCGGAGACGAGGAGTGAGCGGGCGAGCTGTTCAGGATATTTATGTTTATTGTACTTATGATTTGCCACGCTAGACTTCCGCTAAACGTTTTAGTACTTTTGTCAGACTTTGTTCCGATGTTTGTCGGATAAGACATTGTGACCGTTTTTATTTATCAGTTTAAATTTTTAAACGATTCTAAGTAAAATCAAGTTTTCACGGTAGCATCCCGATCAGTTTTCGCAAAAATAAGTATTTTGTTTAATTATTCAGAAAATTTGCGAAAAATCGCGCACTCTGATGTATTTAAAATAGCGGGGTGTTACATCTTATGTTTTATTGCTTTCCTAGTTTAAGTAGATTAGCCTTAGTAGAATAGGATTAGATCTTTATTTTGAGCTTTATAAATAGGCGCAAGCATTGTTCCCAGCAGGTCCCACCGTCCGTACGTGCACCGTCGAGCTCAACCGCTACCTAGTTGCTGTCCCGAGCTTTTTCGCTACAGCCCGTGAACCTTCGCCGCGACCCTCGCCGCGATCAGCAGCCTCCGACGAGCCCCATTAGTCGCTGCTACTCCTCCGTGAGACGAAGCCAAGCCGTCGAGCCCACCGTCGTGCTGTTCATTTCGTTCCATTCTTCGAACGTGTCCCGAGAATGGTAACGATGGCTTGAACCCTATTATTTTGTGTGTATATGTATGTTGATATGTGGTTACGTGGAGGACTTCATAATATATGTTAGCATTTAGTATTTTTATCGATTATGTGATTAAGTTAATCGTGCGAGTTATATGATGTGTTGATATGGATAATCGAACTCGTTTGATATGATTCTTTCCGTGGGTATATTGTGATAAGTGTTGCTTGTACGATAAAATGGTGTGGCTTATGATATATGTTGTTTTTTTGGTGTTGTTATATGTTTTGAATATGTATATGGTAGGTGCGATAGAATTTATGTGTTTATGTTGTGTTCTAAGTCGAATTATGATGAAGTTCATAATTTAGTGTGATTTTGCTGCTTCTGTTGCACTGCTGATATACCAATGAAATAATCGTTTTATAAAAATCTGGTCTTCACATGATATGTATTTTATTCTGCTGTCTTTAAGTGAGCTTTGGAATCAGGTGATTTCGATTTGAAATGAATAAGTTATGATTTTAACAAAATCTTTGCGCATGCAGTTTTTATTAAGACCTGGCAGCATGTACTTACTTTATGTTTAATCCGTTTATCATATCTTAATGTATTCAAATGAAAAAGTGACCATCATAAGAATTGTAGTATTTTGAGTTAGGTTTCATAGAGTTTTAGAATTTCGAAATTCAGAGTTGAATTGAATTTATTATGAATTTTTGTAGTTGTTCATGCAAGCAGTTTTTGTGGTCCCGGGCAGATTTGAGGGATAAGATGTTGGCTGTTTTTGGCGATCTTAATGTGGCTATGTGATAGTGTAATCATCATAAAACTTGTAGTACATGTCATAAAATTTAATCAGTAGTTGAAATCATGCAAATTAGAGTTTTGGTTGATTTTATATGATTTTTCAAAGTTAGAGTTATGTCCAAATTTTTAAACAGTGGTTGTATATATGATTAAAATGTATGCTCTGAAATGAGACCCTTAACGTGATTATTTGTAAAAATGCACTTCTTCAAATTTGTACCATTCCAAGTGTAGTTTCTGTAGGTTCTGTGTTTGTATGATGTAGAGTTTTATATCATGAGATATTGTTGTTTTAGTGAAATGCTGTAATTTATAAATAGTTATGTTGACAGATTTCTTGACCTGAGTGTTTTATGATTGAACTCGATTTTAAAGCTATTGTTGGCTTAAGTGGTCAACATGAAAGTTGTGCATATATGTGTTATATACTCCTTGGTTTTAGAATCACCTGAATATCATTCTTGTAGCTCATGTTATCTTGAAAAATACTGAGACCATGCGAGTTGTTCATTTTCATTTATGAACTGAAACTATGTTTTGTGTCGTTGTTAAACTATGTGGTTGAGTGATATTGCATGAGTGTAGTTATAAGTGTTCACGTGTTGGATAGTCTTTCATAGGACTATTTTGTGTAATGTAGGTGTTTGACGAGCTGTGTTCTTGGCCTACTGTTTCTCCCGATTTTCTGTGACTTCTTTCTTCGAATACCAGGTGGGTTTTGAAAAATTGGCTATGCTGTAAATGTTAATATTGTTGTTATTGTTTTACTTGTAGTATAATCAAAGTATGCATGTAGAACATGTAGCCTTCGATGAGAGCTGTAACGGCCATCGAACGGTTATCCCCGTAACTATAGAACGACCCCAATGGGGTAATCTCCTCTTTATGTCCTTGTGAAGGACACGTCGCTTGAGACCAGGGCCGTGCTCGGTCAGCGATAAGTACCCCGATGTAAGTCCGATGGCGAGCCAGGCCTTCTGGGGAGACTCCTACTGGCTGGACACTCGTTGTAAGACCAGAAGGCCGAGGGCCGTGGCTTTCGATATATAGTCGGCAGTAGTCTATTGAGATAGGTGTGCACATGAGAACAAATTTGGGATACGAGGTTGGGTTAACTAATTAATTACGTATACATGTTGTGACCATACTTGTTTTATTTATGATTTATGTTTACTGCATAGTGGTGAGCACTATTGATTCCTTTTATGCTCATCCCACCTGCTCTTCATAGATGCAGGTTAGTATTGCGGGCACGACAGAGGAGGCGAGTGGTGGTCATGTTACTGGTTTCATTTCCGCTGCTATGAACTGCTTAGTATTGTTTACTGCATTTATGGATTTATGGTGATTACCAGATTATTGATAGGGAGTGTACTCCCTAGTATTTATGCATTTGTGAAAACCCAGTTTTTGAGAGACTAATGTTATTGTTGAACCCAGTTTGGGTGTTGATTCGATTTATGAACCCGTTTGGGAGTTATGTTTATGATGTTATGGAAAATGGTTTTTCAATTAGTAGCGTCGCCAAGTATTTTGAAATAAATTTTGAAAAAATTATTCTAATTCTCGTTAAATAAAAGTGGGGCGTTACACCACCACTCTCCT